ACAAGTCTGATTTAGATTGTTAAACAAACGTTATGTAAAGTGAAAGTATTATCATACAAACGTTATGTAAAGTGAAAGTATTATCATACAAACGTTATGTAAAGTGAAAGTATTATCATACAATCGTGATTTAATGTGAAATATTATCATTAAAGATATTTGGTAACTGATATAATGTCTGTCTAGTTGGGACATTAAACTGAGTTGTTAGATTCTCGAATGTCCAAACCTGAGACATATCATGATTATGCCGATAGTTAATATCCTTTTCTCTGCCTATTGCTTTGGTCAAACCTTTAAAATAAAGTTTTTGAAGTAGAACTAAATAGAATGTACTCATCAACAAGTGCATATTTTGAACACTTTAAACTGTACTCTGATTTAGTGCTTAGAAAGATACACATGGTAAAACTGATTAACTAATGTGTGAATGATGAGATTAAAGTTATAACTCATAAACATTATACAGACTGGCAGTTTTAATGGCAGTAATATCTAAACGTCAAATCAATTGATTGTAATTACTACAGTTTTATAACGAGTTCCCCAAATGGGTTTCAAGTGATAAAAACCGTGCTAATATTGTTTGACGTTAAATACAAAAAAAGCTTAATCAGTTAATATATGTCTGACTATTACATCGACAAGCATGGCATGAGTGTTTAACTTAAGGTGGTTAAAATGTACAATTGATAAACAGGTAGTACGAGGAAGATGTAACAAAAGAAAGGGATAAAATATTGCATACAAGCTATAAAACGTGACATGTGTAGTATACCTTACATTAAATAAAAGTGAGATAACAGTGTGTTAAAGTTATGTAACTTTATATGTACCTTAAATATATCACTTACAAAATTGATAACATAGTATAAGAAAAACACCACTAAATGTTATGTGTAACGATTAACATATAAATATCATATACAAAACCAATAAAATAGTGAATAAAATCTATTAAACCTTACGTGGACTTAAGTATCTTAACTAGGTAATACACAAAAGGTGATTAAATAGTGAAAAAAAACCACTTTATGTAATGTGTCATAAGTGCCATACATACACTACCCAAATAAGTGAAAGAAAACTGTGGATCACTTTATTTTTGCGAGACATGATTTTTTTTATTATTTCGCCAATTCATTTTTTCAATATCATAGATAGTAATTATCAATTTTGAAATAATTTCTTTTTCGATTGCGAAAACAAGTAAACATGAAAAAATGGAAAACAAATTGTTAAATACAGTACACGCGAAAGTAAAGGGATTTATATTAGTATTTATGCTTAAAACCTATTGAACAATTCAAGTAAATTTTCCGTACTCTAATCCATATTACTTTCACACAAAAACTGATGAAAAGTGTATAAAACCTGCAAAAATTAAATTGCGTTTATCACGTTATTGAGACATTAATGTTTCTAGTTATACCGCGAACTTAATTATTTCTTATATAAATATCATTGATAATAATTATCAATATTGGGATAATCTCCCTTTTAATCGCGAAATCACATACATTTATGTATAACGAATAAAACACAGAGAAATAAATAAAGAATGAAAATATACACTAAAATTTGGTGATTACATATATAAAGCACCCACAGAGGATAACGTTAAGTGTCAAAACTACTATAATTAAATTTCAGTTACTCAGTGGTATCCAAAAATACATGTCAATGTAATGTTATTTTTGTTAAATCAAATATAAGCTCAAAATAACCCGGAACAATGTTACATACATTGTACTATAAACAATGTTACTATTCATCCAGTCAATGTATTAAATTAATTTGTTGATTTCTTATAACACACCTTCAATGATAACTTTCCTAATGTCTTATAGAAAATCAATTATAATGAAACTGACAGCACGCTTTTCATTTCCTCCATTGTTATACCGCGTCATCATATTGACATTCAGTGACATCTCCATATATACTTACAGCTTAAAGTTCAAAGGTAGTGTACTGAAATAATATCTAATGATGATCTCGTTAGTTTTTATCGTTCGCTCGTAAACTGTCTATCACGGCTTCCTCCTTGTGACAACACTACACGATACGCTACCTGTTTGTGTTTGTGAGATAAAAGGTAATGCTATCTTCCCCTAAACGATTTCAAAATCTTGTCCCATCGAACGTAATGACAACGTAATATAACTTAATTATTTTATATTCCAACTACCGTACTTATTTTTGTAAAAACACCACAAATGTCTTAAACGAGGCGAGATAATTGAATTTCCACCGATTATAATAGAGTATAAAGACCAAAACGCTATAAATGCTACCTTTAGTTACCCTGGTCCCATTCCTTTATGATCGTTCATATATACTGATTGATATATTGCTATTACTAACTCTATTTAGACCGCATTAATATGGGGTTCCAACGTCACTTTAAAACATGTATTAAACGTTCTACATTTCATAAAAATGTTATTTATTATACTTATACATTTATTCTTTCCAATGTTTTGATAGGCTTTAGTTAGGGATTGAACCATTATAAGGTCTTTTTTATTTTTAAACATCCCTTGTGTTGACCCTTCCTAGCATTGTTTGGAAGACATAGAATTAACAGAACAAACAAATAAAACAACTAATCTGTAAGTCGAATTCGTAATCAACGAAACTGGGATAAAATGAGGACAAATACAAATCTAGAACAAAAAGAAACAACGAAATGTTCATTTAGATTAAATTCAAATGATATCATGTTCTCGAAGTGAGAACCGTTGTAATGACAACGAAACTATAAGTTTAATAAAAAAAATAGTTTGATATTCATATGTCACGATAGCGATCATAAAAAATGCTAATAGTCTTCACCGTTAACTGTAGGATAACGACCGGATATTAATTTGTCAAGGGTGATGTCACAATGGGGATAAAAATAGATTAACCTTTCCAATGGCAGATCGAATAAAACTGTCGAACATATTAGATCACATTAGTTTAATAAAATAATTTATTAACCGTAAATTTGAACTAATATTTACAACTACTATGGCCAATGTAAATGTCATGTACTTTCAAAATGTGCTTCGTAATCCTCTTTTAGCATGCACTTTAAATTTATCCTGGTTATAAATATAAGGTTGTTTAATAAAATCTAATACGTTTGACCTTTAGCAGATTCAAAAGTAGCTGTTTATCATAAGATTTTTATTATTATTAGTTCAACTATACGAATGAAAGGGACGCACATGCTGTGCGTATCGTAGGTATAACAAGCGGAATTTACTTTATAAAGCTGAAATCGCTGTCCTCGTTACATGGTTGTGGTAAGTCACACACTAAGTAGGCTATAAAATAAATCTTGTTTTGTTGAACAGTTTCATGATAAGAAATATACTATGAATGTTTTGAACCCAGCAGTAATTGAAAACTTATTTTGCGAGCGTTTCTTTCACGAGCAAATAGTGAAAATGGCGGATTTCTCAACTCTATACCGCTAAAACCCCTCACTAAGCCACCATACGTCAATCCAGTAAAGCCAACTGTCAGAATAAAATCGAGACGTTTGTCCAAACAACCATCTAATACTGCAAGCAGTCAGATGGACGATACTATGTCTACCAATTCCAACCGTTAGTGGATATTAAAATGGCGTCATACACATGACTCAACTTGTGTCCACCTTCGTCTTTGCTCATCGGTTCACATTCCCTCCTAATCCATACGGGTTCGTTGATTTTCTTCACTTCCATTCAAGCAATGGGAATTGTTCTAGCTTTGGTGGTGTATGTAAGCATGGTGTGTAATGGTTGATTTATTGTATTGTTCCCCCCATGTTTCTTTACCTCCAATAAGGGCGGGATTGGTTAACATATTTCCCGTCCCTGCAAAAGGTTTTCGAAATCTCGCAAAATAAGATATCAATTACTGTGTGTGTTAAAAACAAACTCCGAATAAGACATACCTTAATTTTGATGTGGCATTTATATTTTTATATGTATCCACTTGTATTATTATAATTAAGCCAAATTTAACATCTCAATTGGCCTACATCAATGATATGCTTACGGATGAAGGATATTAAAAGTGAAAACACGTTTTTATGTGATGTACTATCATTATACCATGTGCTAACTAAATATGAATATAAACTAGAAGCGGTTGATGATCGATAATCAAACAATACAAGATAATGAAAAAGACCCAGAAAAGCACTTAAATAGTCATAAGCTTTGTTTTGTTACATTAATTGCACATGTCGTCTGTCAATATCGAAGTAAAAAATGTAGGTTAAAGTGTAGACAGTGGTTATTGTAGGTAAATAGTATTCAAAAAATACAATGTCACACATGTTGTCGTGTCCTCATTTGACGTAAAAAATATAAACATTGTTTTTTTGTAGGGACGAATTCATTCACCAGTGCGCAACGCCACTCTGGCATGTTGTCATCTTTACAATAAAGTTATGCTATTTGCTATGTCAAATGAAAATACTATTGAATTATTTAAGGAATCTCTTTTTGTTACCGTGAATAAAATGGATATCGTATAGTTTCAAATACATCACTTTAAAATGTAATAACTTGATTATTTTAATGTAAACTATTATTAAATGAGTTATGTAGGTCTAATTGACCTAACCATTCTGGATATCTTCTAAACAAATATATTTCGGTTGACAAACTATTTCCTGTATATCAATAAATACCTCACTAAATAAATGTTATTTCCCTCTCTACCTGAACATATTATACATTTTGCAATCACGACTTCATATATGAGCCGATAAACTATACTAAAGTTTCTAATTGAGGAGATGATGAGGACTTTTTAATCTAACAAATCACACATTGTCTTCTTCAGCTCAACCGCCCCAAACAAACTTCGTACCACAAGGGAATCCATTTGGTAGCAGACCAAATGCCGCCTGGGATCCAAGAGTACTGCGGTTTCAAAATCAATTCCCGGTGATGCCATTCCGCCAATCACCCGGTCCCGTATCGAACTTTCAAATGGGTGGTGGAGGAAACAGAATGGCAGGTCCACCAGGTCCTCAGGGTCCTCAGGGTCCGCCAGGTGGTGGAGGAGAGAGATCGTGGAATCCACAAATGGGAACGAATCAGATGGGAAATTTCAGGGTCCTACCAGCTAATATGGCTGATAGTTTACGCAGCAGAGCTAGGATGTTTAGTAACCAGGGATTTTCGCAGGGGAACCAAGGTACTATGTTGCCATTTGTAGGTGGACATTCACCTGGCGGGAACATGCCTTCCGGCCAGACAGCATTCGGAAGTGATGTGCTGGATCTTAGTAACATGCCTAACTTCTCGGATCGATTCGGGCTCGCATGGGGAAACGAATTATTAAGGCAGTTATCACCACAACAAGACAGCGAAACGCCATCGTCTTTTGGGGGTTCAGGCTCTGGATCTAATACAAACAGCAACACGAATCCTCAACAAGGTGGACAGACAAATAACCAACCAAACGCTGGTCAACGCGGATTCGGGAACATGATGTCACCCAATGGTATGATGCCACCGAATGGGATGATGCCTCAAAATGGTATGATGCCTCAAAATGGTATGATGCCTTCAAATGGTATGATGCATCCTAATGGGATGATGCACCCTAACGGGATGATGCCCCCTAATGGGATGATGTCATTTGGACAGCAGATGCCATTCCCTGGCATACCTGACATAACGCAAATGAATCAACAAGGCAACCAAATAACACCACCCCAAAACCAAGGCCGGAATATCCCTGGAATGCAAACTGGACAGACGCCTTCAGGCATAATGTCAGGAGCTTCAAATAATGGATTTCCACAGTTTGGCGGTGGAAATACAAATGCTAGAACACAAAATTCGAATTCTCAAGGTCAGTTCCCTCCACCCTGGTTAGGTTCCGCACCAAATATGTTTGGAAACTCATTGAATTCGCAAGGAAATCAAGGACAAGTACCCGGAATGAATGGAAATATGGGGACAAACGCTATGCCCGGTGGAAACGGAATGTCAGGAATGTCGGGAATGAATGGCATGCCGGGAATGAATGGAAATGGAGGCACAAATAACATGCCTGGTACAAATGGAATGAATAGCATGTCTGGAATGCCTGGAGTTAATGGAATGCCCGGAATGAATGGAGCAATGCCCGGAATGAATGGAGGAATGCCTGGAATGAATGGAGGAATGCCTGGAATGCCCGGAATGAATGGAGGAATGCCTGGTATGAACGGAATGCCGGGAATGAATGGAAGACCCGGTATGCAGGGAATGAACGGAGGACAAGGAAATAATAATATGCTGGGTAACCCAATGAACAATATACCAGGTGGAACGAATGGTATGACAGGAGGAATGAACAATATGCAAGGCGTAAGGAATGGAATATTAAGGGGGATGAGCGGTATGCCGGGCGGGATTAATAGCATGCCAGGTGGAATGAATAATATGCAAGGAGGACCTAATGGTATGCAAGGAGGGATGAATGGCATGCCAGGTGGAATGAATAATATGCAAGGACGACCTAATGGTATGCAAGGCGGTATGAATGGAATGCCGACTGGAATGAACAATATGCAAAGTGGAATAAACGGTAATTCGGGTAACATGCAAGGTGGTATTCCGCCAAATACTGGCATGCTAGGAGGAATGAATAATGGCATTCAAGGGGGAGGTATAAGTAACCCGTCTGGAATGCCGGGAATGAATGGAATGCCGGGAATGAATGGAATGCCAGGGATGAACAGCATGCCAGGAATGAATAGCATGCCAGGGATGAACGGCATGCCAGGAATTAATGGCATGCCGGGGATGAATGGTATGCCGGGGATGAATGGAATGCAAGGATCCAATCAGGGAGGAAACAATCAAGGCAATAATCAAATGCCTGGATTCCCAAATTTCATGGGCAATCCCCAGGGTAACATGGGTACGAATAACCCTATGCAAGGAATAACTCCTAGTGGTGGCATGCAACCAGGGAACAATCAACAAGTAGGTTTTCAGCCTCCGCAAGGGGCTCAAAACCAACAAGCATTCAACCCAAATCAGTTTCAACCTCCATTTATCGGGATTCCACCACAAGGTGGGACTGCTGTTCAGGGCAGTGTTAATAGTCAAGGAAGTTCAAATGGATTACCTGGACCATTATCTTTTCCTCAGAATCCAGCTGGCGGGACTTCTAGTCAACCTGGCGGAGCCTTGCAGTTTCCATTAGGAGGAACGCCTGGTCAGAACCAGTTTGGCACAGGTTTAAATGGATTGGCTGGAACAAATGCGGGGACGTCGTCTTCTACAACAGGCACAGGTAATAATCAACAAGGAGATAGTGACATGGTCACCACGATAACTGATAATGACGGACGGGTTTTATGGCGAAGTGACCGTCATGTTTCAAGGACAGAAATTATGCAGGCAATCCGAAGGCTCGCCAATAATGACAATAGCTCGCCAGCTGCTGCTGCTGCTTCCGCACTACCGTCTGGTGCTCAGTTTCTTGGTGGCAGCGGTGAGACGAGTGCTGCTTCTAACCCAGGTCTAGAATCAGGGGCTGCTAGTCAGAATGGTATCTCCTTTGGAACAGTAGGTTCTAGTACTAATCCAATCCAAAATTTCCCATTTCAATCTACACCAAATCAGGTTGATCCGATGAGTACTACAGTTCATAACTTCATGGACAATCCGAACCGACCGAATCCGTCAGCAGGTATGTCAACAGTTTAACCTATGTAAGGAGCTAGTAACCAAGTAGTGAAAATTACTGGCCTTCTTACCAAAAGAATCCTAAGTGTCGTGAAATGTAATCTTATTTACTATCCTGTATGGCAAAATAGTTCTATCTTCATGCCAAATTTCCTAGCATGATGTATTTCTGTTCTCGTCTCAATGATAGTTAAACATAAATATTCAATGTACCACGTTTGCATGAAAGATATGTTCCATAACTAGGTTTAAAACTCCATTTCCAAGCTGATAGCGTAAGAAGCCAATTAGGATTGAATAGCATACACTGTATTTTTAAAAATAATGTAAATCACTATAATTTTGCAAATCACTTGTTATCACGAGTTTGAGTTGTATAGGAAAAATAACAATTTTCAGAAATAATTCATCGTATCTGAAAACCCCGTTCGTGATATACCAATCGTCCTCGGTAATTAACGTAAGAACTCTTTCTCCCGTGAAATGTTAGTGATTAAAAGTAAACTTAATATCATCCTTAGATGTTGAAACATAACTGCTACTTCTTGAAAAACTCCTGTTAAGGTTGTATAGATAACGCTTTAGTTCATTATGTACATTCAAGTATAAAGTAACTGTAAATCACATAAGTTTAGTGATTGCGTTTCGAACGACGTAGTGACAGGAATTTAGATACGCAAATTTAACAATGACAGCTACATATACATATACGTCCTTGAAAACAATCATGGGTCGAATTAAGATGAGATCATAAACAAATTATGTTGTCATTGACTATTTATCATGTGCTATTGCCCAAATTAGATAACTTAATCCCGAGCTTTTACTAGTGAGCTTTCAATCTTCGCTGAACATTTTAAGGGCTTCATAATATGGGACAGGATATCTACCTTGTTTCGCCTACGGTTTCCGGTTTTCTGTTTGGGTTCAAAGTTCTTGTATGTTTTCGATTTTGACACTCCTCTTGTATTTGGGTTTGGCGCCATGGCATTTTTTCATAATGAAATAATTGGTCTAACATGTAGACGAAAACAACATTTGGTGAAAATAATACCGAAAGCAGACCAGAGGCTATAGTAACACGTACAGAGAGACTACATTCTTCTTGTATACTATTATTTGTTATGTCAGTAAATGGATTCATTAAAAGCTATCATTTGATCTCAAAAGTTTACGACTCGTTATTAGTACGACATATTTCTTTCAAATGTTTTCTAAATATATTTTGCCTTTTGGAATATAAAATAGTTAAATGGATAATTTAATTGACAGTCCATTTGTTACACTGTTATTTGTTTTGTACTGTCGTCCAAAACATGCACAGGCCTGGGACTCTGTCTTCAATACCATGGCATGGACATGCTTCATTTCAATACATTAAGTACATGATGTACTACTTTCACAGCTCAATCACACAGAACAGAGTCAGGGTGACAAGCATACTGTAGATCAAAGGGTCAGTGGGCCAGCAGCATTTACAATTAGGACATGGAATATAAAAGATATCATTGGGTAGATTTTTGTAGTCATCACGGTAACTGCCACTACACTGGAGAAACGGAGATGTTGCACAAATCTGCATGATTTAACGTAATTCTATGTATATTATTCTAAACCAAGAATAATATTTTCATAAGCTATATTTATGAATAACATGCCTTAAGTTAGTACGTTTAAGCATCGTTAGATGAACAATATATTGAGAAGAGTTAAGGATCAGTGGATTAATACAAATGACAGCCATAGCATTTTCAATACCACCTACATAGTTCTTTTCATAAACATTACTGCCATGCGGTATCGAACTAAGTCTGTTTATATTGTTTATTGTACAAAAATAACAAGACCACAAACAAACAACCTCGTCAACACGACATGAAAAACCAAAAGGAAAACCCTATCAATCAAGGCGTGTTACTCCGCAGTCTTAGGAAAACAAAATATGCACCGTGATAAAACGTGTATTGGACGTATTATTCTAAATAAAAAATACCATTGTCATCGCATACTTATAAACAGTATGCGGAAGTTTCAAGAAAATCATGCTGTTTGTAAATGCCAAACTGAAGTAGTCTGACTGTTATATTTAATTTACTGACTGATCCCATCATGTCGGCGTCCGTGGGGGTAATTCAGGGCCAAGAGAGGTAGCATCATATCGTTCATTAAGTCAAATAAGACAGTCGAAGGAACTAAACGAAGCCACGTAAGCTAATTGACTGATTGATGTCTAAAGCGACCATGCATTAAGAAAACAAAACGGCATTATGTGCGCGCTGGAGGGAAGTTTCCTTTTCTTTTTAAAACCGTTACAAAAGTGATTTTAACGAGTCAAACATTGTAACCGATCCGTTTTAAAATAGGAAGTCCAGACATTTAGTTTTGATTTGATAACATGTCGAGGTTCTGTTCACTGTATCTCGTGTTACACGCTCCGATACTTTCTCACCTGACCGTACACCACCGCCTTTCACTATCGTCTGTAAGGTCTCAGGCTGATGATTAACCTATCCTACTTTAAAGCAATGATCACCAGCAGTTTATTTTTACTTAAGTCTACTGCATTTTAACGTAGTCATGATTTACATAATAAAATAGAGAAATACCAAATTTGCATTGTTTTGGCTGTTATACATATGCATACAATAATAGTAAACGCCAATACATTCTTTACTTTTTTATTTAAAATATGTCACCCTTTGAGAACAAGTAGTAACAGGTTATAAGTCCTCCCTCATTGATGACCTGTCTGATTTATGTATATGCCCTGTTCCTTTTTAATCGTAAGAGTTAATAAGAGTTCAACAAGTTTCTGATAGAACTTTTGTTATTCTGCTTTGTCTGTATCGCAAGTTTTCAATTGAGAAGAACATAGATAATATGCGTGTGTAAAAAGTAACAGTTATTAAATGACTTCTTGATTTATAAAAAGATAAAATGACCATAAATCTCCACTATCAACTTATATTACCATGTATGTTACAAAGTCAGTAGTAAATTAAAGTTTGAAGATTGGCATTGACATATTAAAGGTTGTTGTCGCTACCTAGTTTAAACGTCAGATGGGTTTTTTCCAGTATTTCTTATTATGCTATTACTCACAAATTTGACAATTAGAGACAAAATTGTACATCATTATATTAAAAATGATATTTTTATTCTTTAGCCATCTATTAAATTTACATAAAACCAACAGTCTCTCCGATGGTGATTCAGTAAGATATTTGTTGTAAATTATGTAATAGTGAAACATGCAAATACATATACTTACTAACATTTTCGAAAAAGATCTGTTCAGAACTGCTACCTATGTACCTGAACTCTCATACATCTACATAATTCAATTATAGATAGGTTAATACACGAATCAGTACATATTAGTGAACATTACCTTATTAAACTTGATTCATGTTGATACTATTTTTCTTTTTTGATTTTTATTATATTTCCCTTTTTTACAACACATAGTTTAAAAATGAATCCTTAGCATTTTACGTCATATTTGTGTTTGCAAATTGGTAGAAAATGCTGCTTCCGATTTAGCATTGTCGTGGTGGATTAATTAATCAACTTGATCATTTGTATTATACAATATTGCACAGAATGTTTATTGTGTACTGTATCCAATATGTTCTTATCATTTTGACACATCCGATCACAATACACTCAAGACATTTAATCGTTCATAAACAAAATCAAATGATTGATAAAACATTGTGTTGATGAATATTTTCCCGCTTTTCGCCGAAACTGAGGATGCTTCGTTTTAGCAACATGTGCTTGTGATTAAGTATCTTTTTATTAAACCTCATCATACCAATTGTGAATATAATTGACATAATACACTTACACGTTTTTATATGTAAGTGTCATATTATCTACAATTAATATCTGATTGGTAGTTAAACTATAATTCTAACAGAATTAAAAGAAAACGATAGTTTGATTTAAACAGGCATTGTTCTCACAGCTTATGTTGTATTTTGCTGAAACAAATATCTGGCAAAGCCTTGGTATGTTTGCCTTAGTAAGAAAATATAGTCATTTATGCATATATATGTTCATCATTTTATATTCCTTTAATATTCCTTTCTTGATATTACTACATTATAATACATTGCAATGATATTTGTTAAATAACCTATAATCGGTTTGGTGTACATATCATGCATGTGCTGTTCACATTTTGAAGTTCTCTAAATTGGTAAGAAATAATTTCCTAGCTTTTACAGGCACCATTGTAACTACAACGTCCAGTTCGCTTTGGAAAATTATGTATACCAATTTAATTTGAATAATGTATATAAATTATATACCCCAGCATATTTTCAATGTTCGTAAATGCAAACACAAACTGCGTTTCTTTTGGTGTAAGAACACGTGTGTTTAACTGAAAAGGGACTATATATCTAATACAATGTTGTCACAAGTAAATAGTTCAGTGTGTTATTGACTATTACTGTATTGGGCGGATTGGTTGAGTGGTTTACACTCCGGCCTTCCAAGCAGGCGCCGGGGTTCGATCCCCGAAGTCGCCGTACGCATGGAATATTCAGAAAAAAATGTTTTTTCTCCTGCCTACACAACTCCAACAACCCAGGTGGTATATAAAATGATCTGGGATGGGTGTTGCGGTATCTGTGCTGTAGCATTCAAGTAAGGTGGCACTATAAATGATACCATTGTAAGCACGGTCCCACTACAAACAGAACACAATACATCTCCAGCACACACAGGTATGCACACATAGGTAGATATTATCCAGGTGGCATAGACTTCCTCAATATTGTATTGATTAATATATATGCTGATTGTATTGACTGTATAACAGTGTATATCTATGTACTGTAAAGCGCTTTAGAGTGGCTTATGTTAGCTATATAGGGCGCTTTATCAAATGTTGTATATTTTATTTTCATTTATTTATACGATGATTATTGGCGTTTTTTTGTGATCACTTCAGAGTGACATTGACTTGAACATTATTTCACTAATGGCGATTACTTTTTTTTCTTTTCTGT